TGGGACCAGCCTGGGCAATAATGAGACCTCATCTCTACAAAAAATCAAAAAATTATCTGGGTGCAGTGGTGCATGCCTGTAGTCCCAGCTACTCAAGAGGCTGAGCCCAAGGAGGATTGCGTGAGCTCCTGAGTTTGATGTTGCAGTGAGCTATGATTGCGCTGCTGCAGTCTAGCCCAGTTGACAAGAGAGAGAGAGATACCCTGTCTCAAAGAAAAAAAAAAAAGAAAGAAAAAAGCCATTCTGGATCCCTTACATCTGCTGTTCCCAACTCCCGACCCCAGATGGTACCATTCTGTGGCCTGTTAGGAACCGGGCCGCACAGCAGGAGGTGAGGGGCGGGTGAGCGAATCTTCATCTGTGTTTACAGCAGCTCCCCATGGCTCACATCACTGTTTAAGCTCTGCCCCATGTTAAATCAGCGGGGGCATTAGAGTCTCATAGGAGTACAAACCCTGCTATAAACTGCATGTGCAAGGGGTCTAGGTTGCACGCTCCTTATGGGAATCTAATGCCTGATGATCTGAAGTAGAGCTGAGGCAGTGATGCTAGTGCTGGGGAGCAGCTGCAAATACAGATTATCATTAGCAGAGAGGTTTGACTGCACAATAAATGTAATGTGCTTGAATCATTCTGAAACCATCCCCTACCCCCACTCTGTCTGTGGAATAATTGTCTTCCATGAAACTGGTCCCTGGTGCCAAAAATGTTGTGGACCGCTTCCTTACATGGTCCTAACCTTCAGGACCTTAATAGGTTATGGTCCAGAAGAAGAATCTTATTTCTGGACATAGTTTAGGTTCTCTTTTGGTTTAAGATTTATCACACACCTAAGTTGTTGCCTTCTGTGGCACAGCCTACCCTGGATCTTAGCAGGACAAACACCAAACACATTCCCATCCCAAAATAGTAATTACTGGTACTAGGAGAGTCTCTAGACTGTCTAGATTAGGTGCAGCGTGCTGGGGTAGGGCTTATTGGTGTCACAGCCAGATGGAGTTTCTCATGGACTATCTGTTATCAAAAGAAAAATAAGTTGAACTAGAGAATAAGGAAAAGGTGACTTGTAGGTCCATTTCTATGATCAGAAAATGACAATCAGTAGGTTAGTAGGAAGACAGAGCCCTTTAAGCCTCTATTACTTGTGAAGGTCCTGGAAAGGACCTCATATGTGACATAGAGGAGAGAACTACCAATCTCAGTATATTATGACCTACAGTTCTGGATACTGAGGACTGATCAAGTCATTTTTTAAAAAAAAATTATAGAATGGATGTATCAAAGAGCTATGTTCCAGTGGAATGGTCAAATCACTTTTTAAACTGTAGAGTTTCTAAACCTTTTTTGTTCCACATGCCCCTTTGGTGGTCTAGTGAAGCTGATATTTCATAAAACAGAATAATGATTTTAAATGCATACAATATATATAAGGTTACAAAAAATAATATAGAAGTACAGTTATCAAAATATTTTTAAAACAAAATGTGTTATAGTTACATGCTTATTAACACATTAACAATATCAATAATGTGTCTAATATCTTCAATAATTCTGAACTAATGATGAGCATAAATGATGTTTTATTTGCAAACTAGCATAATATAAAGATTTTTTTCATTTCTCTTGGTCACAAAGTCTCAGGCACTGTAATATTGCTGCAGTTTGTTTTCTATGTTCATTATCAAAAGAAATGCTAAATTTTAGTAGGAGATTAGTGACAATAAATTTGTATTTTTTTCCCCATCCAAATTCATGGACTCTCAATTCTCTTCATGGATTCTGTGGGGGTCCATAGACTTGAGGTTAAGAATCTCTGCATTAAAGACTCTTTCCTTATCCTGTTCCCTTCCCTAGGGAAGTGAGCAAAATACAGTAGAAGCCCAGGCTAAGACGTATCCTTGTACCTGAAGTACTATCCCAGCAAATGGAAGGCAGGCTAAGCCGGTGCCTAAAGGGGAGCTAGGCCTCCAGTTTTCAGTTCTGACCATCTCAACAGGCCTGATTTGCCCTGCAGAGCCTGGTAAGAGAGACGTGTAGCAGGGACAAACTGACCTGGTTTTAAAGTATTTAGTATATAACCCTGAATTCAGTCAGCTTCACCTTAGCCTTCATGGTAACAGAAAGAAGGTGGTGTAATGGGAATCAAAAGGAAGAGATCAGGACAAGAAAAGACACTGAGAAAGAAGAATCAATGACTTTTTGATTGGATGTGATTATAAAACTATAATTTTAAGAACTCTATAGAAAATACACATATTTTATTGTTTGAAATGGTAAACAGGAATATGACTTAACTGATGAGAAAAGGCATATAGTATGTTCAGAATTTCCATACCATATAATTTGAATAGCCTGTTCTGGAATGTGAGTTCATTCCTTATTTTTTAGGCTTGAACCAAACAGTGAATATTGAGAATATTTCTTTTTTTTTTTTTTAAAGGTCTCTGGAGGAGATGATAGTATTTTGAAAGCATTGTATGCTTCTGGTCTGTCCTTGTCTATTATCTCAGGAATCTCAGCATGGCTTAGCTGATTGCCTCTAGCTCAAAGTTACTCATGCATCTTGTTGACTTGCTAGAGCTGTAGTCTCAGGTCTAGCTGAGACTGGGAAGGATCCACTTCCAACTCACTCACATGGTTGTCGGCAGGATTCAGTTCCTCAGAGGCTTTTTATCTGAGGGCCTCAGACTGTTGACCTCTCTCATTTCCTTTGCTTCTCATAGTGTGGCTCATGGCAGTTGTCTTCCCTCCAAGAGAGAAAGCAAGAGACTACTCAAAATGGAAACCACAGTGTTTTGTAACCTAATCTTGGAAGTGACTTTCCATAATTTCTGCCATAATCTAGTCATTAGAAGCAAGTCACTAAATCCCAGCCCATGCTCAAGGGGAAGAGATTACACAAGAGTATGAATACTAGAAAGCAGGGATCATTGGGGGTCCATCTAATAATAGCAGCTACCTACCATACTGCATAAGGTCGATATTATTATGAATAATTAATTCACTGGTAATTAAACTCCAGTACTATTTGATAGGTAAATATTGACTTTAACACTATGAAAATGACTTTAGTTGGAAGTTTTATATAATCATAGTTTGTTTCTCTTTTTTTTCCAGAATAATCTGGGTATCTTGTGGTCTGAAAGAGAAGAAATTGAAACTGCACAGGCTTACCTAGAGTCATCAGAAGCACTATATAATCAGTATATGAAAGAGGTATGTTACATGTCAGATAAATTTTAAGTTTTGATTGAAACTAGTCAAGAATTGATAGTAAGAATTCCTCATTCATAATATTGGTGTGACTCTTTAATGTTCCCAGGAACTTCTCTGTAAAGCTGTCTGGGAAGTCATCTAATAGCTGAAATTACTGTACATTAAACACTTTGGGGTTTTAAAAATAATTTTAAAATTACAAAATTTTAAAGGTATAATGGCAACCTTAGTCTAAATACAGTTATAAAGGAAACATTAGCCGTGCACGGTGGCTTACAAGCTTGTAATCCCAACTACTTGGGAGGCTGAGGCAGGAGGATCCCTTGAGCCCAGGAGCTTGAGGCTGCAGTGAGCAATGATGGCACCACTGTACTCCAGCCTGGATGACAGAGCAAGACCCTTTCACTAAAAATAAAAGAAATTTTAAAAAAGGGAAATATTCTAATGTTATCCTAAAATACTATTTGCATATTTTTGTATTTATAACCTAAAAAATCTATTTGGTTTCCAATGAAGAAACATTGCTTAAAGGAAAGCAAATGAACTGCTTGAGCAAAATATCTGAAATTTTTGGGGCAATGGTTCTCAAACTTTAACATGCATCAGAATCACCTGGAGAGCTTATTAAAGCACAGCAGACTGGGCTTCTAACTCTGATTAGGAGTTCTAGGGTGGGGCCTAGGAATTTGCTTTTTTAACAAGGTCTTGAATAATGCTCATGCTGCGGGTCTAAGTACTGTTCTGTACTTTGAGGACGACTGTTTCAGGGCAATGGTTTTTCAGTGATTTTTTTTTTTTTTTTTT